AATTTTGTAGGAAATTTAATGCTCTACAAAAAAGAGTATCTCAGGTATCTTATATTTTTTCCGTAAACCTCACCATTTGAATGATATTGAAGATTTAAATTTGATGATTTTTAGACAAATTTCATTTTTGTTTATGAATTTTATAACTCGACAATAAATGACTATTATAAGATGCGCAATACAAATTTTTGTAGGAAATTAACTGCTCTCTAAAAATGGTGTCTTATGTTTTGGCGATTAAATTAAGCGTTCAAAAAATATTCAGAGACAAAAATCAGTACACATGAAAGTTTGATAATGAATATCATATCATATATATGAATATAATATGATTGATATATACATATATATAATATAAGAAAAGAACAGGTATAATTCTTAGAAAATCTCGAAATGAGATTAAATATAGCAAAGTTGAAAAAAATTATTAGTAAGATAAAATCAAAAAGAAAAAACGAACGCGAAAGCACATCATCACGTACGTGGTTCTCGCAAGCAAGCAAGCAAGCGTGCACGCTCGGTTTGCGAAAGGAAGTGCTTGTATTCTCCGATATAATGGCTCGCTCGAGTGCATTTGAAATGCACTGGCTCATCGGAATAGCTAAACAATAGAAGCCACCGAGGAGAGTAGAAGGGGGAGACCAAGGGGAATTCAGACGTAGACCTGGCAGCTACTCGAGATCTCTCTCTCTTTTTCTCTTCTCTTCGGACGTACTTGCTGATATAGAAGGAGAAGAGGAAGACGCAAAAGAGAGACGACGATGGGTGGTTACGCATAGTACCAACGTGTTTGTACGTTTCCTGCAGCATGCGCACGATACGTCGAGTGGACTAACTTTAGTCAAACCCTCAACGTCATCGCAAGAGCTTCTGAAGGCTGTACACTTCTGCTTTCACTGTCGTGTAGGCTCGTTCAAGAGACCGAGACAACCGGCCGGGCGACCATCTGTGTAACGCTTTACGTCAATATCCTTCAGATCTCTCATTCCCCATATCCATCTATCTTTCTCTATCTCTCTCATCTTCCCTCCTATTCTCTTGTCATCTTTAATGTCCTGTCCGTTTCGTAAGCGTCCTTGAGAACATTACAGATCTCCCCCTTTACATAATCATACACGTGAGCCTGTCCAAAGTCACGAAATAGGTCCCGCCCCCTCTAACAAGAGTTCATCTACTCCAATTAATCGCTCGATATATCGAGTGTTGTACTGTTTTCTAAGACGACACACATCGACGACGACGATCACCCCCACCCTTCCTTGAAAATGAATTATCAGCTTTTATTTCAAACAATATCCATATTTCTTTTGTATTTATTTCTTTTTTTTGTTTGTGTTGCATTATCTTTTGTTTTTAATTGCAAGAAGAAAAAAGGGGTTGGATAAATATAACACCCCAACATCGATTTACCTTACCTGCTATATCTCATATTGTTTTACCGAGAGACGAGTACGCATAAATGTACCTTCTCGTTACACAAAAATTGTTGCACCATTGCTGCTCCATTCGTAGCTACGTGATAAAACTGCAGCCCCGTGAAATTACCGTCGCTCGACGTAAAGCACGGATGGTTTTCAGAAGAAACTTCCTTTGTTAGATTTGCTTACACTGCTATGAATCTCTCTCTTTCTCTCTCTTTCTCTCTCTCTCTCTCTCTCTCTCTCTGTCTATCATTCTTTTATTTCTTCTCTTTCTCTCTCTGCCTTTTCAACTTTTCTCAATCAAATTTACTTGACAAGCAAACTAAAGATAATATGAAAAATTCATTTCGATTAAAAACTAAAGAACAATATTTAATGACTGAAATATTAATGAATTAGAAAATAAAAATTTTTATAATAACTTAATGACAATAATATGCAAAAATAAAACAGATTTGAATATAAGACGATTGAAATTTGAAAAAATCCTTACTTACAATCTATACTATTCCACTTTATATAGTAACCTATAAAACGAAGTATCAAGATTCGTTGGTCGTTAGAAAAAG